CAAGCATGCGAAGAATAGGGTCGATCGCCAATGCGAACAGACTGCCCGATAACGGGCACCCTTGTTTGATGCCGCGATTCACGGCAAATTGTCCGCCACGGGCGCCGCCAAAAGATACTGATACCCGAACATTGTGGTAAAGCAGCTTGATACTCGCCCTAATATGCGCGGGCACTGCTAGCACTTCCAAAATCCAGAATATATACTCGTGCGCCAATGTAGGAAACGCACTCTCATAATCAAACAAGATAAATCCAGCATCCAAGAAGCCATGCTGGAAGGAGGAGGAGGAGGAGGAGGAGGAGGAGGAGGAAGTGTGTGCTTGTGGCGTGTCTTCGTCTTGTTCTTCTTCGAGCTTGGAGGGAAGAAACAGACGTGCAGGAGCGCAAACTTCGGAGCTCCGCGCGTGGGGCCCGCTCCCTGGGGCGCACAGGACCCCACGCTGTCCTCCTCCTCCTCCTCCTCCTCCTCCCTCCTCCCTCCTCCCTCAGTCGTGTTTGGGCTCAGGCCGAGATTTTGGGTGCAGATCAGTTCTGCGAATCTCGAGAGCTCGCGCGACCAAGGGTGTTGCCCTAGCAATCACGAAGGGCGACCCCGCCTGGCATCGCCGCAGGCGCCGGCAGCGCGCGGCGGCGAGAGTGCTGCTCAGGCTGGGCGCAGCTGCCCGCCTGCTGAAGCAACATCACAGCGCGATGGCGCCGCAGGGCGGACGCCGCGCGGCCAGCGGAGGAGGTGGAAGCCAACGGGGCCAGCACGGTGGCGATGCTACGGCCCCGCCGTGGAGCTGCGGAGAATGCCACACCTCCAACTTCGCCACGAGGAAGTCCTGCCGCCAGTGCGGAGGAGAGAGGCAGCAGGAGGCGCCATGGCAGCAGCGCCGCCGTGAGCGCGGGGCCAGCAGAGGAGGCCAACGAGAGGCGAAGCCCAAGGGAGGCCAGCCCTCGCAGGATCAGACCGCGGCGGCCACTGACAAGGAGACGCTCGGCATCCTCCCCATGCTGCCGGAGCAGGCCAAGCTCCACAGCGCATGGGTACCGCCCCCGCAGCAGGCCGCGGGCCTGAAGCAGCACCGCGAGTCGCTTAGGAAGGCGCTCGCGGCAGCCGAGGGCAGGGTGCGCGCCATCCGCGGGCTGGTGGCCCCAGACCCCACGAGGCTGCGCAAGGCGGAGCAGGAGTTTGCCGCCATCCACTGCCAGGTGATCCTGTCCAGGGACCCGGCGACGAGGGCCGACAAGCAGGAGGCCTTCGTAAAGAAGGCACGCAGGGCGCTAGAGGGCGCCAAGGACGCAGAGCTGGCCGCGCAGCTCAAGCTGGCGGCCGCTGAGGCCGACGCCAAGCAGGCGAAGCAGGACCTTGAGCATGCGCAGGTCTTCCTGGAGCAGATGTTGAACATGGCGGACTTCTGCTCGTACCCTGCGCCGCCGCCGCAGCCGCGGGCGCAGGGCAGGCGCAGTGCATGGCAGAGGCCACCAGCATCAGGGGATGAGGAGGCCGAGGAGCTCTCGTCCTGCCTCGACGAAGAGAGTGAGCCACGCCGTGCACGCGACCAGTACGGAGATGGCAATGACGAGGACATGCCATCCACGCCGCGGCCGAGGCAAGAAGTGGCGGAGGTTGCACAGACGCAGCAGCGCGTGGCCTCACTCGAGAAAGGCATGGCGCAGCTGATGGAGCAGATGATGCAGATCAACTCGAACCTCATGGCCGCCGCCGCACAGGCACCCTCAGCCGCAGCCTCAGCCCAGCAGGCGCAGGCCGCAGCAGCAGCCCCCGCGGCACATGCAGGTGGCAGTGCGATCGCGGCCACCAAGGAGAGGGCCGCTAAGGCAGCAGCAGACAAGCTGGCCCGCGAGCAGGAGCGGGCAGCTGCAGAGGCCGAGCGGGACAAGCAGGCGGGCAGGCAGCAGACCAGGCTGCAGCTTCGACCCGCAGCAGCAGAGGCGGCGGCCAAGAAAGAAGTAGGGAGAGAAGAGCGTTCACGCTCACCCGAGGCCAGGCAGCCTGCTGGCCCAGGGCTAGCGGACAGGATGCCAGGAGGTTCTCCCGCCTCCCCAGCTGCAGCGTCCTCGACAGCGTCGATGGCCAGTCCGGCCAGCGCTGTGGCCAGGCCATCCCAGTGACAAACAAGGGGCCTCGCCGAGGACACCCCGCTCCCAGGTGACAGGGAGGGCGGGGCCCCTAGTGATGTCACCCAGCCAGACCTACAAGGGCGGCAGCCGCGACGCGTGGTGCCGCTGCCAGACTGCGAGCGTGCGCTCAGCATGCTACGGGAAGCCTGGCCCTTCGACCTCACGGCCCTGGACGAGGGCGTGCTGGGTCCCTCTCTCCACAGCTCCACCAAGGCGCTCCTGGCGGATTGCTGTGAGGATGCTTTTGCGGCGGTACCAGGCCGAAGAGCATCTCCCTTCGGGTACGTCTCCCTGGACATCTACACGGATGGCTCAGGAGGTGCGGACAAGGGCCACATGCCAGGCCCCCCGTCGTGGGCCTTCACGGTGATCGGGACAGACGCGCTGGGGCGCATGTCCAACATCGGCTACCTGGGCCAAGCGATGCCGGACCTCGCGGACAAGTTTGCACAGCCCTCCGTGGCAGCAGAAGTCTGTGCAGCAGCGGCCGCCGCCATGTGGGTTCTCCAGCTGCACCAGGCAGACCCCTCGGTCCACCTCATGGACACCCCCATGCCGCACATCACCTTCCACTCGGACTGCCTCTACGTGCTGGACATCGCGGCAGGAGGGGCCTCCCTCGCCACGTACGCCCCGTTCTCCACGGTGTTTGACGGGATGCACAAGCTCTTGCAGGCTGTCACCCCCTTCAGCTGGAAGCATGTCCCGGCGCACGAAGGCAACGGCTGGAACGAGTTGGCAGACACGATTGCCACGCTAGCCAGAGGAGGAGAGATCGAGACAGCGCTCGACGGCAGCTTCTGGGAGCGTGTCCTGGACATGGCGCAGGAGGCGCCGTGGCTTTGGCTTGCAGCGGCACCAGCGCATCTCCAGGCCCAGTACCCCACCCCAGGGGCTGAAGTTCCCCAGCTGGCTCCGCCGTGCCGCGGGCTGGCAGACATCCTGCACGACCGCCTGGAGGGCACTGGCACGGGAGACGCCCAGCAGCTGCAGCAGGAGGTGAAGCTAAGGGTAGCAGTCGCCAATGTCCTCACGCTCGACCCGAGCAAAGCCAGGACCGGAGGCGGCAAGGCCTTCTCAGGAGTGCTGCTCCCAGGGCGTGTCCACATGCTCTCGGGCCAGTTCGGGCTTTTCAAGTACCACCTCGTCGGCACGTTGGAGACGAGAGTGCCCAAGTCCTCGGTGCTGAAGGTAGGCGAGTACCAGATCTTCCACGCGGCGGCGAACTCCAAGGGACAGTACGGCGTTTCGCTCTGGGTCAACCTGAGGCTGCGCCACCAGGGCGCCCCGACCCTCGAGGCCAAGCACATCGCAGTCCTGCATCAGGACCCACGCAGGATGCTCGTCAGCATTCGCTCCATCCTGCTCAGCATCGATGTGCTGGTGGCCCATGCGCCCCACAGCAGGACGGCGAAGGAGCTACGAGATCGCTGGTGGCAGCAGACCCACCAGATCCTCAAGCAGCATCGCCCTGAGGGCAAGGACAACCTGATCTGCCTGATGGATGCGAACGCCAGGGTCGGCCAGCACACCACGGCAGAAATCGGCAACCACGGTGCTGCCCAGGAGAACGATGCAGGTGCTGCGCTGAGGCACTTTGCGGCCAAGGTGCCCGTGTGCTTGCCAAGCACCATGCGCCCGTCCAGAGGAGGGCACCACGTGACCTGGCGCTGCCCGGGGCGCGAAGGCCAGCGAGGACACGAGCACAGGCTCGACTACGTGGGCATCTCGCCAGGCCTCCTCCAGTACGTGAAAGACCAGGGAGTCAACCACGACATCGAGCTTGCCATCTCGCAGCAGGACCACTCCCTCGTGGACTTGCTGCTTGAGCTTCCACCGACCGAAGCAGCGCCTCACCCTCCGACTTGGAAAGGAGTCGCTGTTGACAAGGCCAAGTTCGGAGTTCCCGAATGCAGGAAGCAGTTTGAGGAGATGATGGACACCATCCCGGCCTTCCCCCTGGACCTACATCCCAACGACCACGCCGACCAGCTGGACAGGGCAGTCAGGAACGCCGCGGAGAAGGCATTTCCGAAGGACCCAGTGAGGTCCAAGCCTGCGTGGACGTCAACCAAGTCACGGGATCTCTGCTCGCTGAGGTGCAAGGGCACCAAGAACGCCAGCAAAGTCCAGTCCAGGTGCCAGGTCTTCATGGTCAGGGTGCTGTTCGCAGCGTGGGCGCTGATGCCCAAAGGGGACCTCTGGCTCAACCTACGCACGAGGGAGCTTGACTGCTCGGTCCGCCTTGGCCCTACCTGTGCCAGAGTGATGCTCGGTCCGCCTTGGCCCTACCTGTGCCAGAGTGATGCCGGAGCTGGCTCCTGTCCTTCAAGGATACCGTGAGTTGCTGGACGGCACGGCGCTGCTCATGGCCAAGCAGTTCCCGCGGCCACAGAAGTACACTCGCGTGCACAGGCTCCCAGAGAAGCATGGAGGCAGGGTACAATTTCACCAGCAGGCGACCAGCAGGACTGGCCCTACCACGACAAATTCCCAGGAGGATCTTGGCACAGGGCAAGGGAATGGCACTCATGAAGCAGCGCAAGGCGCCGGTCAACATGCACATGAGATGAGCCCCCTCGACGCCAGGAAGAACGACCACTCCTCCTCCAGTCCCCTGCTCCGCCCTTGGCGGGACACGATGAACGGGTTCCACGACCCGTTCGATGACCTGGAGGATGAGGAAGAGGCCCGACCTACCCACATCCAGGGGCAGTGCTCCCCTGAAGGTGGCGTACACCCCGCTGGGCAAGATGCCGCTGGGCTCTTGGCGCCCAGGGAGCCGCGGCGGAGTCGCGTGGCCAGCGCGAGCTCAGAAGCAGGGGGCACGGCCACAGATGGCGCCGCAGTGCCAGTATGCGCAGCGGACCCAGCTGGAGAGGAGGTGCAGCAGGAGGAGTCGAGCAGACCGACGATACGAGCATGCTCGACGGCATCGGCGGCGTCGACGGCGACAGGCTCAGGGAGCAGAGCGTCCTCTTCCACCTCAGGTCCTGGGAGCGGCGCCAACACACCAAGTGGTCCCTGCAGGGTGGCCACCTGGGCTTCAAGGGCGGCAACGGCCTCGGCTGCAACTCCAGCATCCCGCGGGGCCTCGAGCTCGGCTACGGTTACGGCCACACCTTCAAGGGCCACCTGGACCCTGAGTTCAGCAATAGCCTCGGCGGCCTCTTCAGCATACCGCAGTGATTCGGGAGCGGCAATGGCTGCGGCCGCAGCATCAGCCTCATTCAGTGCTTTGAGTTCGGCAGCAGCAGAAGGGGATGCCCAGGATACAATGACATGGGCACGATGGCCAGCGACTTCAAGCATTACCGCCATCGACCTTCCACCCTCGATGGCAGGCTGCGCAGGAGCAGGTGCTGACGAGTGGCGAGATGAAGCTGATGGAGGCAGCCGCGTTTTGCCGAAGTCAGAGCGGGACGCCTCGGTGCTCCTCGAGCCGAGAGCGTCCCAAGTCGTCGCCACTGGCCTGCCGGATGCCTCGATGGGCCACGCTTTGCCAAGGTCAGAACCGGCAGCCCCGGTGCTCCTCGAACCGAGGGCTGGCCTCACGTCGCCACGGATACCGGATTCGCGCCCAGGTGCCAGGATCCAGCATAGAAGGACGTGCCCCCTTCAGCCGGCCAGGGTGCGCCCAGACGGCCACCTATTCCTGGAGCCGATGGTATTGAGGCCGACCCAGTTCACCATGAACCTGCTGAATGATGCCGAGTCATCCTGGACGGAGCTCCTGCCCGACCTCTTCAGCATGACTACGAGGCTGCTGCAGAAAGCAGCGGCGCTACGAGAGTGGGCCTGGCGAGTCTCCCTGCGCGCAGTTCAGAGCTCGCTCAAGGACGACGCCAACATGCACTACACGCGGATCGCAGCCGACATCGGGGACGCGTGGAGCAACAGGCAGTCCAAGCGCGCCTACGCCAGGCTGCGAGGCATGGGGATCGGCTCGGAGAAGAAGCGCATGCAGTCCACCCTACCCATGGTTCGCAAGTTGGACGGCAGCATGGCGCAGGACGTCCATGAAGCAGGCGATCGGTGGGTCCAGCACTTTGCCTTGGTCGAGTGCGCGGCAGATGTGCCGATCTCTGAGGTTGCGATGTTCGACGATTTCTTTGAGGAGCTTCCGCAGGACCACGTCCTCGAGCTGGCCTGCATCCCCTCGCTCACGGAGCTGGAGAGGGCCCTCCACGTGGCCAAGGACACAGCGGCAGGGGTCGACGGCTTCCAGGGACGCTTCTGCAAGGAGTTTGCGAAGCCGCTCGCCAGGGCCTACATGCCGCTACTCACCAAGTTCTCCATCATGGGCGTAGAACCGGTGCAGTGGAAGGGGGGCTACTACCGCCACCACCACAAGAAGAGGGCCATTGAGGAGTGCGCCAACCATAGGTGCTTCGCCGTCACCGCGACCATCGGCAAACGGGCTCGACATTGCATCCGCGAGCGGCTGTCGCCGCACATGCCCAGTCTGGTGGGCCCCAGGCAGTTTGGCGGCATCCAGCGACGGGGCACACAACACGCGCTCATACTCCTACGGCTCCTCCAGGCCACGGCAATTGCCAAGTCGATCACGTTTGCCGCCTTCTTCCTAGATGCCAAGGATGCGTTCTACTCGCTTGTGAGGGAGCTTGTCCTGCACACCACCACGAGCGCGCCCGGCCTCGACGCCATCTCGAAGTCCACGGGTGTGCCCGAGGGCGCGCGCCGACTCCTCAGGCAGACGATCGGAGGCCCCCCCATCCTGGAGAGAAAGGGTGTGTGTGGGCACCTTCGAGCGCTGATCTCCGAGCAGTACAGGGCCTCCTGGTTTGTGTGCGAAGGCTCCGACCACGTCGCCCTGGGCACCAAGTCGTCCATTCCAGGTCAGCCCCTGGCGGACCAGATCTACGAGACAGCGATGGGAGAGATCACCGAGCTCATCGAACAGCGACTCCATGCTGTAGGGCTTGGCGTCTGGATCATGGGTACAGACTCCAGGTCCCTGGCTGACCAGTTCGACAGCGAGGACGAGAGGCAGGAGCTCCCATCTCACAGCGTCGCCTTCGCGGATGACGGCAGCTTCTTCTACCTCGGCGAGGCCAGTGGTGCTGCAGAGGCCCTGGCCCTAGCGGGCGGCATCATACTGGACGCCTACGCCGAGTACGGCCTGCAGCTCAACCTGGACCCAGGCAAGTCGGAGGCACTCTTCATGTTCGCGGGGAGGGGCTCTAGGGCTGCGAAGCACGACGCGTGGCACGTCCGCCAGGGCAGGCTCGTCCTAGTCTCCAAGTACTTCGAGGACCCGTCCGTCAGACTGGTCAACACCCACGTCCAGCTGGGCACGGTGATCGACGACCACGGCGCCATGTACCCGGAGCTCTACCGCAGGGCACAGACCACTAGCAAACAGTTGAGCCAACTCAGACGTAAGGTCTGCAGAGAGCCAGGGGTCCCGAGGGCGGCCAAGATGGAGTTCGCGGATTCCCTCATCCTGGGATCCAGGGCCTACTCCATGGGCAGCTGGTTGGGCCTCACAGGCGCGGAGAGCAAGTATTTCCACGGCATGATCATGTCAGTCTACAGGGTGGCCACGTCCAGCTCGCCCGTCAGACGGACTGACGAGGAGGAGGGCGGCGAGCTCGAGAAAACGCCCGACGCTGCGGACGACCACGTCCTCCTCCGAGCAGGCAGGTCAAGGCCAGCCGACCTCCTGAAGGTCGCCCGCCTCCGCCTGTATGGGGAGCTGCTCCAATCAGGCCCCCCAGTGGCCTTCGCCCTCATGGCAGGGCTGCTGGTGACCCCAGCGCCAGCCAGGCGTCGATCCTGGCCAGCTCTCCTACTGGACGACCTGCAGTGGCTCAGGCAGTTCTCCCACGCCTACGATGACCTGCCGCACCCTGCGGTGGATATCAGGCCGTGGGAGAGGAAGATCCGCAGTTCCCACACCACCTGGAAGCACAGGCTCAACGACGCGCTGAAGGCGGCGGCGGAGGAGCTTGCCAGGAGGACCCAGGCGCAGGAGGCGGCCCAGCACTTCTTCAAGACGGTGTGGCCAGCAGGCGTGCCCTACTCAACACGGCCAGGGAGCCCATTCGGACCGCCAGCACATGATGGACCAGTACCAGCCTGCGCAGAGGGATCTTCCCAAAGCGCAGCAGTGTCGGGGTGGAGCTGCCCATGGTGTGCCAGTGGCTTCAAGAAGCTAAGGGGCCTACGAGTGCACATCTCCAGGGAGCACTGGAGGATGCAAGACCTGGCGCGCAGGTGGCTGCAAGGGGCAACACAGTGCCCGGCCTGCCTGATGCAGTTCGAGGGCGAGCACCACCTGATCGAGCACGCGGCCCATGGCTCGCCCGGCTGCCTGCTGCAGATCACCATGGCGTGCGACCCCGTGGACCTGAGAGGCGAGGCCGTGCAAGAGGCGGCCCCGCTCCCGAAGGGTGGCTTCCGCAAGCGCGTCAACGTGCCGGCGCAGCGAGCAGCAGGACCGCACAACCCATGCCTGCAGTGGGAGGACCTGCTGAAGGAGGGTCACTACATGGAGGCGAAGCACATGGCGGCCACGCTGATCAGATCTGACTACGCGCTGGATGAGAGGGCGGTGAATGTACTCCTTGCTCGCGAAGGGGCCGCCCCGCCAGCAGCCGAGGAGGAGGACACGCCCTTCGAGCGCTACACGTTGGACCAGTTTCCGACGGGCAAGTATGAGGGCATCGCGACGGAACAGCTGCCCTGGAGGCCGCTGCGAAGTGAGGTCTTTGTCCTCAACCTCTTCTGCGGGGTCCGCAGGACAGACGACATCCAAGACTGCCTCGAAGCGAGCATCAGCTACGAACAGATCAGCACGACGATCCAGATCGTGGTGCTCAGCATTGATGTCGCCATCGATGCGGAGAGGTGCGACCTGATGAAGTCGAGTAACCTCCGCACCTTCGGCGACGCCATCCGATCCCACCAGGTGATCCTCACAGGCGGCGGCCCGCCATGTGAAACGTGGAGCGCGGCGAGATGGTCGGACATGCCAGGGCCGCCGCCGCTGAGGACTCACGACGAGTACTGGGGGGTGCCGCTCGCCACCCCCAAGCAGAGGCTGCAGCTGGCGGTCGGCAATGCGCTGCTCCAGGCCATGGTGCAGCTGATGGCGGACCACCTGGCAGCAGGCAGCGCGGCGTGGATGGAGCACCCCATCCCGGCGCACTGGCGCCGCGAGGCTGTGACGAGCTGGACGTGGGAGCCCCTCTTGGCACTCCAGTCGTGCCCAGTCGTCAGCACCACGGACTTCGACCAGTGCGAGCACGGCGGCAAGGCAGGCAGGGCACCGACGAGGATCGTCGGCGTGCGGGTGAGCGGCCTGCATCGACGCCTGAGGGCGACGCCCGGCCAAGGGCGTTGCTCGCACGGACGCGGAGCGCACTCAGTGCTCCTGGGTAAAGCAGAGACGGGGGGGGAGTTTAAA